CAAGTCGTCAAGGAACAGTTGCGGATTATCAGCAACCTAAATCAGAGCAATGGCTCAGATGCTTCAAGGTTTGCTGAGATCATAGATCCATCACTTGAATCCATGGAAATATCTGGCAACAAATAGCATACCAGATACCAACATTTATACATTTGTTTCATGTTTAAGATCAGAGACGAGTTAAATCCATCCCAAACAAAACAAAAACTGATGGTGTGGAAAATAATATCAGCCAGTCCAAGAGCCAATATTTTTCCATCAGCCATCATTTTGTGTGGTTTGTGATCTGTGACAGGTGCCAGGTGCCAGGTCATTTAAGGAATAAAAATAACCAAAGCCATTGGTTTTTCTTGGCTTATGAAGAAACTGGCCTCTCATAGTGGACTGGGGAGGACTGCAAAGTGCCTCATGAGTATCAACTATCAGATATTGAGTGCTGAGTAACAACTAACAATCAGGGCAATGGGCTCCAAAGTCTCACCACCTGTAGCCTGATAATTATAATATGCAAAATATTAATGGGACAGACGATGAATTTCAGCATTTAAATGTAAAAGCTTCTTTTGGCTTTTCTAATAGGTGCCCGTTTGATAATATAGCACCACCAAGACTCACAATTATGTATGATAAAAGTCCTTTTATGCTCAGTTTGAGCCAATTAACCGTGAAATCGGAGTGTTTTCCATCATTTTATACTACCTATCAATTGATTGACTTTTTATTGGCTGTATTGTTTGACTTTTTCTAATATTGCAGTGATTTGGATTTTTTGCACTTGAAGACATCTGGCAAAGAGTGACTGGCACATTGAAAACTCTAACATATTAAGCCTTCTTCAGGTAAGTCAGCTGACAGATAATTAGCTTGAACATGCTGCTCCCCTTTACATTCAGTACCAGGCAGTAGCACTTGTTTCTTCTTCTAGACTAGGCTTATGGATGCATTTAAACACTTCTCAGTTCTCATATCACCTCTGAAGCTGAAGGAGTGCATCTTCAATGTCTATGCAATATGCATTTCATATTATTTTGATGTAGTAAATGTTTCTTTAACCATTTTTATTCATGTGACGACAGACCGTTAGAGTAACCAGTTGAAGTGTTATATTGCAGTCCAGAGCATATTTGTGTTAAATCACAACTCCTGGCGATCACGTCCGTGGTCCGATGGCACCTTTGTCGATAATAGCCCGTCCCCGGTCCCAGCTCCCTGGCTCATACATTTACAGCGGCAGAGCCCAGTTCAGCCGCATACGACGCTCACTGTGGGACTGACGGAGCTGTAGATAATGTGCACTCTGATATGCTGGACTTTGAGAGCGATAACGGTAGATGCATGATCGTGCGTGCGTACACATCACGTGTTGCAAGTTGGCATATATCCATCTAGCAGTTGCAAAAAAAAAAAAAAAAAATGTTCCGTCCCATCTTGCTATGGATGCGTGTGTGATGGTTATTATTTTTGATGTCACTTATTCAGAGTCAGTCTTCTTGGATAATCACTTTCTTATGAAATATGCATTATTTTAGCGGTACAAACTATCTATGCACATAAGCATGTGTATGCACGTGCTACCTAGTGTATTATAGGTGCAGGATCAGGCTAAAGCTAGCGCGACATCTGCCCATCAGTGGTTGCTTGGCTTGGATTGGACGCTGCTCTGGAGCGAGTTGGCAGCGGCATAGCGGGTTGACTGCTCTGGAGCCCGTTGACTGCAGTTTAGCGGGTAGTGAGGCCTTCCCCACCGTCCCCCTCCTTGCCTGTGCCGCCAGCAGCCTGTCGATTCTGCGCAGCCATTGCTCGCCCTATCAGTCGGATCGGGAAGTGCGACTAAGGTACGGCCCCATGTAGCACCCGGGCCGGCCGGCGCGCCACCCGCTATCGTTTAGGCAGTGCTCATCCGGGACTCGGGGTCAGACCCGCAGTACAAGTGTGCTCGAAATCGGGACACGCTGCGCGGCAAGTGGAATGTGGCTGACAGAGCATTGTTAGCCGTATTTGCGTTTTGGAGGCGAATCGAGTTGCAGAGGAAATGACATCTGCTTGGTCCAGTGAGCACTGCTGCCGGCTGTGTCCTAGGCGTTTCCAGGCCGGATGGATCGTTCGTTCATATTAAGTTTGTTTTGATTAAGATTGTTTTGATTGGTGAATTGCAAGGTCAATCCTCATTCATTTCTAAGAGGCATATCCATTGTCCAGATTTGTCCATGCCGCCCAAGCGGAATATTTCGAGGCGACGGCTCGCGGCAGAATACGTTACTCACGGTACTCGTAGATGTGGGTGTCCAATATGTCCATACAAAGCTGAAACCCAGGAGCAATCACGACTGGCCATGATGACGAGATCGTACTATTGTACGGCCTGTAAGCAGCCACAGTCACTGGCTGTTCAACAAACCATGTTTGAACGGAACGGAACAGAACTGGCCATGCTGCGAGTGCAAGGGGCTCCGTCACCGGCATAGTTATATTTACCACCGGCATTGCTCAATGAATTGATGGACTTTGAAACACCTTATTGAAATTCAAACCAACTTTATCTTTGTTGTCTTTGTACGAGCCTCCAGCGTACTCGAGTTCTGTTTCAAATGTCCTGAAAACGTCATGTGGCGTTTATGCGTGGAATCAATGTCGCAATATCGCCACAGATGTGTGTCTTTACACAGCATGCACGGATGGCGTGGCTCCGAAGAGCTGTGTCAATAACGATACGCCTATATTGGGGGCCAGGGCTATAACTATGTATATGGTCATCCAATTCCTGGTATAACCGCCATTATCTGTCCTGGCTTTGTTTCACTGATAGTGCTGCTCCCGTTTTGCGTTCTTTTTATATTTCAGTTAGACCGGCATTGCTGGGACACTGTCGCTACACCTGACATTTTCAATGCGAGTTTCCCACAATGTGTTGTTCACAGCCTCCCATAGTTGTTTCCTCCTACACTCGGGGTCGAACCGTCGACATCGTCCCTGGGTCATCATCCCACATACAAACGAATATATGAGAGCAACAGCGGGCTTGCATACACGACCGTAACCACGATGCCAGGGCCAGCCACACCCCAGCACGTGGTGATGAGTTATCGCGCCATCATTCGCTGCCCAAGGTGCGCACTGCGCAGTGCAATTAATCACCCTCGGCAGCGGCACCCTGGGGCCGCCCGCGGCCTCCCGAAGCCCCTGTCCTGCTCAGGTGAGAGGCACCGGGCGCTGCAAGAGGGTCAGTCGCTCCGTCCGTGGGCCAGGCTTGACCGCTGTGTAACATTCATAGGTTCATTGGAATCACCTGTGCCATGGTGTTATGTAAGGTTATGGAGGGCTCGTTGACAGTTCATGACCTCCTCTCAAGCGATGCCCTTATTCGTTGGTGTAAAGTCGTTGTCCCTGAATGTGCACTGTGCGGGTCATGAACTGGGGCTATGTGAGGGTGTAGGGGCACGGGTGACCCCTCTACATTAACCACATTTATAACGACTGTGAAACATATAAATAGAGCTAGAACACTGACGCAGCATTGTTCTAGCTCTCCTCACTGACGAGTGGAGAGCTACATCCGGTGATAGCATCCTTTCAGGGACCTCACTGGTTGGCTTGGCGAGCTCTGCGACTCATGCAGATCCGCTTTGTGACGTGGCTCGGGTGGTGTCCCTTCCCAGGTCGGCAGGACTGGGTTGGGGGAGAGCATTACGTGGTACTGGTTCGGGCATTGTTAATGGCTGTACGTACGTTTGTATGTATCGGCGACTACTGGCTTTTCCTGGTGTGGTCGATCGGTTGCGGTCAGAGACTCAGTTTATGTAGGAGAATGGCTGCTCTATAAAAGCTGCGCAGTGCGCATTTTTGTGGCGTTTTGTGGTTAGTTACCGGGGCAGTGAAATTTCCGTTCTGGTGATGGGAGGCCTCAATTTACAACCACCGCTTGGACGTCATCGAACGCCGACCAAGCCTCAATCAGCGCGTCGAATACCACTTGAATTTTATCGCTTCTTGCAACTGAGGTCTATGTGAAAGCTCGCCTGTTTTCGGGCCTCTTCATCCAGCGACGGTCGTTGCTCGCAGCCCCGGTCTGTTCGGGCCGACGTCAGGGATCCTGCTGAGTGACGCAATGACGCCCCTGCTGTCCCTCATGGCGTCATCGCGCCCCGTATCTGATGATGACCGAGGCCCGCTGGTCACCGGTCGAGGGCCTCCGGTCGGAATTCGCAGCTCTGCCAACTAGGGCTGCGGAGTCGGAGTCGGCGTCGGCCGGAGTCGACAGTTCTGACCGGAGTCGGAGTCGATTTTGGAAACCGGAGCCAGAGTCGGAGCCACCGAAAATCCATCGACTCCACAGACTTGACAGGGCTGCGTAGTCGGAGTCGGAGTTGGAGTCGTAACTCGTAGTCGACAGTTCTGTCCGGAGTCAAAGTCTGATTCGGAGTTGGTTTTTAAAAGTCGGAGTGGGAGTCGGAGTCGGAGTCACCGAAAATTCATCGACAGTCCGCAGCCCTGCTGGTTGCTGCCAAAACCAGGCCCCAGGCCCCGCCAGGAAGCTCCATCAGAGCCTCAGCCTAATGGCAGCTGCCGCCGGCTGGCTGCTCATGTTTGGGTTTGAGAGACTGTTTACGGCTCCGGCTTCGGACGCCGCCGCGTGTCCTGACCCAGAGTATATAGATCTCCTGACCCGTGCAATGGGAACGGAGAGCTGCTGGTGCCTGGGCTGATCTCGCCACCAAAGGTCATATGCTGGTCTCCTGTCCTGTCCATCGTGAACATTCGCACAGTAACATAGTAGGCGGCGCCTTGTTTGCCTGATTGTGCAAACTGGGTGCTACAGCTACCGTACACTCGGCATCGACATTGTGTTTTAACTACCAACATGTCTCAGAAGAATATCTCACAACAATAGAACAACAGAACAAGACAACACGGCCCTAAACCCTTCACTCTACCGGGCATCTTCCGGGCGCGAATGCGGCCGCTCTGGACTCGACGGCCCCAGGGCGCCGATATGCGGCGGCGCCTCCTCGACGGAGGCCGCTTGACAGGGAAGTCCCGACTGGCCAACTCGGCAGCAGCTGCGGCGCGGCGCGGCGCGGGCGCCCTCAGTCACGAGCTACGTCGGCTGGTGGGTGGTGCGGGAAGCCGACGTGTGGCCGAGAATTGTGCCGTGGAGCTGCGCTGTGCTGTGAAGGTGGAGCTGGGTGTTTTGTCGTCTGAGAGACGCTGTTGAATTGAAGAAGTGTGCCAGCCGCTCAGCCAGTGTACTGAGAGCCGAGGGGTCTTGAATGGTGAAATTGCATATGATTGGAGCTGGTGAGTTGAGCTGGGCGGAATCGTCGGCCTGTGGGTGGTAACGGGTGAGTGTGATGGTAATGGGAAGTTGAAGAGTCTCATACGAGAGCTAATGTGAGAAGGGAGGGGGAAGATAGAGAAGAAAAAGCGGCCCGACAGGACAAGCTATCCTGGAAACAAAGACATGAGCTTTCCTGAAACATTATGACATGATATTGAGTGGATTTTTCGCTCGTGGGTGACCCGAATATCAAAATGGTGTTAGCATTGCTTACGATTTAGTTGGTCTGACTGACTGCGATAACCATGTAGCTCAAATGCATGCCCCCATAATGCCTACATCTACGGAGCTCACACCGCTCTTCGTTGAGAGATGTGCTGTTACATAATAGGTACTGTTACCTACCCATGGGCCATGGCGCTAGATCGTGCAACTCTATCGCTTCAATAAGCTCTTCTATAATTGTTAGTGTGTGTCGAGCTCATTTTGATGCTACCAGTACCATTGATTTACCAGTCTTGTTTTGAAGGCTAGATTGACAGGGCGGCCTGGGCTGTTACTGGACCGAGCTCCCGTTGTCTAGAGGGTAGGAAGGTCGCCTTTCACCGCGCACTCCGCCGTGTCTCAGAGGCGTGAGAACGCCTGCTGCTAAAAAATCAAACTGTTAACCTGTGGGGCACCTAGCGACTGGTGATTGCAACCCTTCACTTCCATCACCTTGTTATGGCACAGCTCTGACCAGCACTTCCTACATGAAAAGCCAAAGGGCAATGTTTTACCTCTAGGCGTTGTGGAGCTAGACGTAACATGCGTCAAACAACCGTGTTGACTGACCGTTTCAAGGTCTCATTAGAAGCTACCGGTTGGACGTGCTTATTCTTAACATTTAGAGGACGAGCTGACTCGAACGGAGACTCAGACCAGAAGCATGACACCCTCCTTCCATGAAGCAGTTGATACAGATTCTCGTGTAATATGTATTCTGTCTATGTTATGTCCTCAGTCTGGGTGCGCTCCGCAGTTTCATCTCTCTCTCTCTCTCTCTCTCTCTCTCTCTCTCTCTCTCTCTCTCTCTCTCTCTCTCTCTCTCTCTCTCTCTCTCTCTCTCTCTCTCTCTCTCTCTCTCTCTCTCTCTCTCTCTCTCTCTCTCTCTCTCTCTCTCGCTCTCGCTCTCGCTCTCGCTCTCGCTGTTCTCTCGCTCTCGCTGTTCTCTCGCTGTTCTCTCTCTCTCTCTCTCTCTCTCTCTCTCTCTCTCTCTCTCTCTCTCTCTCTCTCTCTCTCTCTCTCTCTCTCTCTCTCTCTCTCGCTCTCTCGCTCTCGCTCTCTCGCTCTCTCGCTCTCTCGCTCTCTCGCTCTCTCTCTCTCTCTCTCTCTCTCTCTCTCTCTCTCTCTCTCTCTCTCTCTCTCTCGCTCTCGCTGTTCTCTCTCTCTCGCTCTCTCGCTCTCGCTCTCGCGCGCGCTCTCTCTCTCTCTCTCTCTCTCTCTCTCTCTCTCTCTCTCTCTCTCTCTCTCTCTCTCTCTCTCTCTCTCTCTCTCTCTCTCTCTCGCTCTCGCTCTCTCTCTCTCTCTCTCTCTCTCTCTCTCTCTCTCTCTCTCGCTCTCGCTCTCGCTCTCGCTCTCGCTCTTCTCGCTCTTCTCGCTCTCGCTCTCGCTCTCGCTCTCGCTCTCGCTCTCTCTCTCTCTCTCTCTCTCTCTCTCTCTCTCTCTCTCTCTCTCTCTCTCTCTCTCTCTCTCTCTCTCTCTCTCTCTCTCTCTCTCTCTCTCGCTCTCGCTCTCGCTGTTCTCTCTCTCTCTCTCTCTCTCTCGCTCTCTCGCTCTCTCTCGCTCTCGCTCTCTCGCGCTCTCTCTCTCTCTCTCTCTCTCTCTCTCTCTCTCTCTCTCTCTCTCTCTCTCTCTCTCTCTCTCTCTCTCGCCCATTGCATCCCTGGCGGTGAGGCGTATGTAATATGTATGGAAGCGAGCAGCCTCTGAGCAGAGTCCTAATACCAATATCTGGTCCCAGACGGGGATCTCCAATGACTGCTGACAGGTCGTTTCCGGTATTCGATTTCAGGTGTATCATCCTTTCACGTCGCGTGTTGCCAGCTTCTTATTCAACTGCGATGCTGCTGTCGCCGGCTGTTAAGTGACGTCACTCAATGACGTACTTCTGTTCTGACGTCACCGATAAGCACATGCCTACCGTGCGTCGTTACGCGGCCGCCGCGACAAGGCCGATACCGTCCCAGGTTTATTTTTTTGTGATTCAGTCACCCAGTCATCTCGTTATACCTACTTGCCCACCTTTCTCATTATTGGTTGACGGAAGTCCTACGTAGGAAGGTATTCGTAAACCTGATGCATTTATGCATCAATATTCACACACCCTGCTTGAATATCATTGATTTGCAAGACGCGTGCTCTTCGTTAGGTGCGACATTGACCGATTGCCATTAAAGGTAGTGTGCCAGCTTTCTTGGACCATATGGAGTTAATGACCCGGATAAGGAGAACCGGATTTTTAGAACTTATCCATACCTTCAAAACTTATGGAAACGTCTTAAATTCTTCAAATTTTGAGTACCCCAGTGCGAAATTCGCCCCGACGGGTTGTCGGTCGTACCCCAACCACATTTCACACCACTATGAACAATAAATGCACACACTAAAATCGCTATTACCGATAGGCTCATCCAATCAAGTTTCGATAAACCCGTTCATCATCATCTCCTGCGGTTTCGAACACGCCTGTTAGGTGGCTTCTGATGCTCGTCGAGGTCGGAATTTCCAAATACGCGTGGTGCGTCGGGCCGCGCGCTCTGACTTCGGCCAAGAAAAATGCGTCAGCTGATCATTGTCATTTCTGCCACTTGCGTGTGGTGTAATGGGGTCATAACTTAAGAGACGGCTGTTTCATATCAATTATTTTACATAAAATCATATTTCAAACCACAAATTAATGTTCGACAGCCAAATTTAAGAAACAATACCAATACAGGCTTACAGTTTAAGGCTCGACATTGTGTTGTCTACGATTAGACAGCTGATAACTCATTCCCGTACGTCGTATGGTCGTAACACTATAATGACCTTTGCTTATTGTCACAAGTGCGCCGCATTCGCGATTGTTGCCCGACACCTGTTTGCAGGTGAGCCCACTACAGTTGTTATACATATCTAAAAACCGATAAACTTTTAGGCGAAAAAGGCACTATTCCAGGCCCATTTTTGATTTTTTTTTGCGATATTAGGTAAAAACAGAAGCTTCTTATCCTAGGAAAAATAAAACGGGAAATCTTTCAAAGGTGGCACACTTCCTTTAATAGACCACCATCCGTCCTGATAGTGGCAGGGATCGGCTGAATTTATGAAGAACGCCACGTCCTGGTGGTCCCTCGCCCATTTTATGACGCAACACCGAGCGGATACCTATGCACCGTGTGCACTCTGCCGGCATACCATACAGCGCGGGGCCAATGCATATCATTTGTGATGTACATGTACAGCTGTAATGTCCCCTCGCGAACACAAGTGTGCTCACGTCATGAGACTCCCTGGTTTGCATGGCAGTTCAAGGCCCCCAAGTGACACCATTTCGGGGCTGTGGAATAGGATTTGTCTTTCATGAGCTGCTTTAACAATGCATTGAGGATACATTGGAGATGATGATTGCTTGCTATTCGATCATTTTTTGGTCATCCATTTCAGGTCGGTCGGAGTAAATTTGAGAAATACACATGAAATAAAGCAAATGTATGGACATGAGAGAGGTGTTTAGGATTGTCTGTATGCCGCTGGTCTGTGTTTTCTGCTGTCACCCCACCGTTCCGCTCTGACCCCCGTTTTGTTTGCCCCCGCAGAAGTGCCCGCGATGAGAGCCCGCCAGGAGACGCCGTCGCCGCCGCAGCAGCAGCCGGCCATGGCGCCGGCGCCGCTGCCGGTCATTTCGTTCGACGTGCACGCCTTTCTGGGCGACGACCCGCCGGTGGACCAGCTGCTGCAGAGCCTGCTGGACTCGCCGCGGGCCTCTGTGCCGGCCGCGCTGCCGCCGCCGGCGCCGGCCGCCGCCGCCGGCTGCTCGGCCGTCACCACCGTGGGCGCCCAGGGCCGGCCGTCGGCCGCTGAACGGGCGCTGCTGGCGCGCGTGCGCCGCGTCCTAGAGGACGTCAAGGTGCCGGCCGGCGTGCCGCCCACGGCCGCCCGCATGGTGCTCGTCCACTACATGGAGGCACAGCGGCGCAGCACCGTGGACGGAAACATGTGAGTGCCGACTGTCCCGGGTACACGCCAGGCCGGGAGACACGGGCCTTCGCCGGGGAATTTATGGACGTTTTTTCATTTGTTGTTCACTCCTTATAGCTTCATGCGATAGTGTACTAGCATCTTCACATATTCGTACATTTTTTGCTTAATCAGTTATCCGGGAAACGTTTTTTTTAACACCATCACTTTGTTACAAAACCATGTGACGAGTCTTTCAATGGATTAAAAACACTCATAAGGTGATTTTAATTATGGATCGGGCAATGATATGCCATTGGCCGTGAACATCTTCATGCATGCAGCTGCACCACAATGCAAGACGAACCTACAACTGCATGGCCTGCCTATGTGCCCGGTTTGCGACCTTCTGGCTGTCTCAGGAAGCGGAAACTGGTCGAGTCGGCAGCCAGGAGGAAACAGCCGCTGTTCAGGGGTTCGCCGAGCCATACCGGCCCTTCACTGTCCTCGATACGGATCAACAGTGGAGCAGCGGCCGATCGAAATAGCCGACCACTGGCCGGCCGGTCGCGTGATCTAGGGCCCGAAAGTAGGCAGCTCGAGTCGCGTGAATCACTGTAAGGCTCTTTGACGGCACGAACAATCCGTGGACAGAATAATTTTCTCATTTCGTCTGAGGCTCATCGTGCTCCAAATTACCTCGGTTCGTGAATCGAGGCATGGCTAAGCGATCTCGAAGTCTTAGAAACATTATCTCGGCTCTTATCTATCCGCTATATTAGCAATATCCGCTACAAGCTAATTTACTCCGTAAGTTCCGTAACTAGACTGAAATCGTGTAATACGAGGACAAGATTGTCGTCATGCTCGGGTGGCATCGTTTGTATTTATTGTAAAAACGTGCCGCTTTTACCCAAACATGACTGTGTGTTCCTGCTGTGGACTCCCTCCCTGCACGCGATCGTAGCCCCACAGGTCGTAGCACTCTATGAGAAACCGGACGATAGTTGTGTGCGCTGCTCAGGGCCGCACCTGCGAGGAAATTCACGTGGCTTCGTTCGCTGCACTGTATTGCGCGGTGTACAGCTAACGAAGCGAAAAGTCTACATACACCGCTCCGGCTGTAATCTGGCGGAATGGCGGACTCGTCAAGTGAATTTCGTAGTGCTCAACTGCGTCCTCTAATGCCACAGACTAAAGAGCTCTGTAGAGTTTGGTGAGATGCGGCTGGCGCGTCTCGTATGACCATTGGTGCTCTATTGCGTTCCGTTATGGACTATTTTCGGGGGTGGGACGTGGGTATTTTGGGGTCTTGCATGTGCATGTTGTATGCATGGAATCGCTGCATTCTTTGACTTACATGATTGTTGATATGGAAGTTTTTTTTTTGTCATGAATCGGATCTAATATTTGATCTTGTCCGAGCTTCCCTGGGTTTTTGCGCGAAACGAAGCCAAGCATGCTTTGTTCTGCGCTGATTCCTGGCTTGAATTCATTGTAGCTCGGTATAAGCCGAATTTTCTTAGCATCTCGGAGCTCGTGCCTGACGAATCGACTTTTGCGGATGAATATATTTCATTGGAAAGTTACACATTCCTATCGCCACGCTAGTCTCTTTCCGATTAGGACATCCTTACCTTCCCAGTCGAGCTAGCTCGCCGTCTTTGGGTAGTGTTGGCCCACCGAAGAAATGGTGTCCTTTCAGGATCATCGTTGGCACGCGGCACCCAGTCCCTCCGGCGAGGACAGGCGGGCGCCGGTCGCCCGTTGCACGTAGTGACGCAAGCCCGACCTCCCGCTGTCACAATCGGGGACAGTTGGAGTGGCGGGACTGACCCGTGGATGCCGATACGATACGAGTTCGCCACTGATAGCGGCAGTCGCGCTCCACAGCGACTGAAAGCAGCGGTGGGAGTAGGTACTGACGGGCTATGGAAAGGGTATGGCCAATAAGGCGTCTGGTGGTTGAAAGGTTGTGGGTTAGCTAAAATAGGTACTATTTGCTAAGGGCAATATCCCGATGTGCTGATGCAAGTTTTCGTAAGCCTCGAACTTCTGGATTGTTTGTGGGATAATGATCAGATTGACCTTCTCTAGCGTCGTTCTGTGGGGCTCACGAAGCTCCTGGCGCTAAGCACCATTGACTTCTCAAGTATATCCAGGACGTTTTCTGCGAGATGCGTCGTTCCCTCCCACGCCGCCGGTGGTTGCAGCAGTACTAGAATATCACAGCCTGGGGCTGCCCGTATGCGTCAGCCTGTGTCTGTGTTGTGCACACAAGGCCTCCTACTCACGCGCTGTTACTATGGATACAAACCGCGGCTATGTCACGCACTTCGTCCGCGTAACCGCGCTGGAGTGCTTGGCTGATGTAAATGATCACGGACATTGCCATGACCGTGACACCACCCTCAGATCTCAACCCTGCCTGCGCCATGGTTATTTCAACACGGTGGATTTTACGTCATACAGCCGGGACCAGTTGGGGGTATTTCTGCGGCCGCTGATATGTCGACTTGCCATGACTCTTCACTGCTTTGTTGTGGCTCTGTAGGCTAGGGTATAATTCTGCTTAGTGTCCGAGTTAGTATGAAGTCAGGCGAAACTGTGGCTGCAGACGGCTGGTCGCCCCGGTGTTTCATCTGCGATCATAACCAGCGAAGTCGGGCAAACCCTTGCATAACTTAGAAGCTTCCGGGAGACCTGTCGACATTCAGTCTCTACTACACAGACCCACAGACCCACAAGGTGCTCAGCCGGTCAGCCGTCCCTCGACACTCGAGTCTGTCATCTGACCTCTATGAACCCTTCCTCCGCCAGGGAGCGATAATTGCAGTTCCGTGTGCAGAGCTGGCGAGCCGTGTGCCGAAGGTTATGTAGGTGCGCCTAGTGGCATTCGGGGTGCGTCTGGCGGTATTTGGGGCGCGTCTGGTGGTATTGGGGAGCGTCAGAGGGTGCGGGACGCGTCTGGAGGCTTGTTCCGTGGGTGTGTGTATAGCTCGTCTGTGGGTGCTGGGTTCCCGTGGGTGCGGGTATGTGTACTGTGTACTGCCTAGCGCCGATCGCAGTAGAGGTGAAAACATAACGCCCATGTCAGCGGTATTCCGTCAAACAGACGCTGACACACAAAGGGGCGGAAGGACCGCCGCCGCAAGCCTTCCCCACAATCTGCCGTGCGGGGAAGATCGCGGGACGCTCCCTCTCGTGGCCGAACGTCCCCCTCTTCCGGCCTGTCACGGACCGGTTCCCTTGTTCTCGTTCAAGTGGGCCCTCTCTCCACCCTGGCCCGGCGCCGCCCGGGCCGGCGACTGCGATACGCCGCTTCTGGGGTTCCCGGGGCCAGATAGGGCCGTCTGAAGTCATTTCCTGTGACTGAGCTGCGCAGCCGCTCCGCTGGTATGACGCCGGTCGAGGAATCTGAATTTCCGGCACTTTGTGTGGGTAATGTCTCCAAACAGAGTAAATAAGGGACTAAAACCGACTTATAGATAGCGAGGGAACATCGATGTCATAATAACGTTAATTTTGTATGTACCATCATAAGTAATAAAAAAAACTCAGCGATCACTGATGAACCAGCGCTAATACCACTGATCAGACGGTGATCTTTGGTAGCTGATCATTGATTGCGCCCGTAGCCGCGGCGATCACTCACACGGTGATCTCCGCTCTTACAGACTGCTCCACAAGCTGGCCAAGAAGAACAACGCCGCCCAGTTGGCGCGCTACGCCGACCTCATGAAGAAGCTCCAGCATAAGACACATGTGAACACCAAGAACCGACACGGAGAGGTGAGAGACCGTAACCCCAGTCTTCCTCTGCTCGCTGTCCCACAAACAGATCACAGATGGTGTGTGTTTTTGTTGTTGTAATCCGATGGCTGATGCTGATTAGTGTCCTTCACTCGCACCCATCAATTCGTCTGTTTCGACAGTCTACACGTTCCTTCTCCCTCATTTTCTTTGTCCTCTTTGACTCTCAAATCGTTGGATGGCGAGCGGGACGAGACACTAGTCGGGAGCGTTCTGCAGTGAACGATACACGGGGAGGGGAGTAGCAAGAGGTTCTGATTTGTCCCTCCATAGACCTCTGGGGGTTATCATAACCCCTGGGGTTATAAAAGAGAGTAAGTTGATAGATTTCAAACTGAAAAACCTCGCAAGGCAAAAAGTCGATGTGTTGAAAAGTCAACGAACTTTAGTTCACATTGCATGAAAAATTCAGGCAGGCAGAACGCACATAAAGTTGGAAGGCGAAAAGTTGAACCATCAATAAGGCAAAGAGCATTTGGCTGGCGCTACTTGTTTGCAAAGTAAATGTTTTGCTACCATTTCGGCGAAAGAATTGTTTTCGTTGTTTTGAGTTCTACTGTAAATCAGTTAGAGTACGAGAATGTAGCCTTCCCTTTCCGTTGATGTTGCCTAATTAGCGTGAATACTGAATGTAGCAGAGTACGTCTCTGGGTGAGACCAGTCCAGCCTTAGTGGCGTTGATTCACTGCCGTTATTGTCATCGTAGTGACTTTTCTTTACTCACTGCTGTGGGCAAAAATCTGCTCGTCATGAATAGCGTGTCTTTGTAGTTGTGTACTCAATGGTGAAGATGGCTTAAACGATACGGCTTTGAGCCATGAATGGAACAGGCCGTTGTTGAATTTGCGGAAGTCAGTGCGATTAGGTTCACTAACTGTGAAAAGGGCCATCGTGGGAAGTTTTAAGGATTGCCATTTGATCTATACAGCTTTTCCGAAGCTCGTTGGCCGCTACCGTCATGCTATCGGCTTTACCTCCCTTACCAGCTCGCCTGCTTCCGCCTAAATGCCAGGATTTTATGGTGCAATAATATTTATTAGAAGCCTGGAGGGACGAAAACCAATGAGCATTGCTGTCATAGCCTTTGACGCTTGACAATGAAACCCAGTTTTCTTGTTCGAAAAGGGAACTTAATGCATGTACACCTTTTTCACTCCCCTTTTTGCACCCGTGGCTACCCGGGCCCATGATTCCCGACCCCTATCGAAGACCGTTCTGTTTATAGGCGTTGATTAACCCGCCCCTCTTCCTCCCAGACCCCTCTGCACGTGGTGACCGGCGCCGAGTGCGCGCGCATCCTGCTGGAGCGGGGCGCACAACTGGACGCCGTCGACAAGCTGGGCAACACGCCCATTCACCTGGCGGCCCGATACCAGCGCGTCGAGGTGCTGGCCGCCCTGCTCGACTGGGGCCCAGACTACAGCCTGCTCGACAAGAAAAACCTGGAAGGTGGGTGCTGAGGGGCTAAATTTTGGACTGTGCGGACTACACTAGAGTACAGCATCCTCGACAAGAAAACCCTGGAAGCTGGGTAACTAGTGCCACACTTAGCCGCTGTAACTCTGGATGGGCGGGACTCAGGAGGTAGGATATGACGTGTCCTTTACGTGTCCTCTGGTGAAGGAGTTGTCAGAGAGGATGTTGACGGTTTGGATCGTCGGTGGAACCCGCCCCGGGTCTGCCCCGCGATGGAATGATGCGCTGGAATTATGGGAATGTGACGTGACGTATCGTACTTTCAGTGTAACGGCCGCTGTGACGGGCAGGGTTACGTCCTGTGTGACTCCACTGTGGCTGTACTGTCCGGTGCGTGACGGCGGTGGTGGTGATGTCCGTGAATAGTGACGAGCGGATGTGACGACTGGAAGTGGCGGAGGCTGGCCGGCGCTCGGGTGCTCCATTCTTGCAACGATGATACACTAAATTTGGTATCCTGCTCAGCAGAAATGCTATTTCGATCGTCACTTTAAACGTATAGAATAGGCTGATGGTTGCAAGCAGTGGTTACCTGATTCGCTCATCGGGTTCGGTTTCCCTTTTTCATGCTGTCAAGCCTTAGTTAACCTGACACCATCACTATCCTCGCTCTCATCCATCTAATTTCATGCTGTCAAGCTTTAGTTAACCTGACATCATCACTATCCTCGCTCTCATCCATCTAATTTCATGCTGTCAAGCTTTAGTTAACCTGACATCATCACTATCCTCGCTCTCATCCATCTAATACACCACCCGCGTCTGTGAATTTTTTTTCCAATGCTCCTACGCGCTAGCAAAGACGGTGCGAAAGTGATTCGGGGCTATATTCTCACGAAAACAGCGTCTTTGGGTGAGGTGACAGCCCGATGAGGTATAACACGCGACAAACGAATAACATGACATGGCGGCGGCGGGGAGGCGGACGGCAACGCGTGTGTCGCCAGACAGACCAGGCAGAAATGGGACACAACGTTATCGCGGGCGCGCGTCCCCTAGCCTAAGTCATGTGACCGCGACGGACGTCTTGGCTGCGCAGCGGCCGCGCGCTGATTCATTGCCCCTAAAGGGCCAAACAGAGAAGTCATGGTACCACACCACAACATTTTTCGCTCGTATACGATTGGAAAAAGCTCCTAGCTGCGCTAAACGCCGATTTTCCAATGCTCCTACGCGCTAGCAAAGACGGTGCGAAAGTGATTCGGGGCTATAACTATTCTCACGAAAACAGCGTCTTTGGGTGAGGTGACATTTTTCGCACGTTGACGCCCTTCTCAATTACGGTGCCAGAACGTCATCTTGATGTCCTCTTGTCAATTTTGTCTGCTCTGTAGCGTGTCTTATGGTATTCCTGTTACCACTGACCATCTTTACTTCTTCGGCCTCAAACACCCCTATCCATCCGGTGATACTTCCCTAACTCTTTGTCTCAAAGGAGTGAGAGTGCTGCGCCTGCAGAGTGCTGTCCCTCAGCCACCCTCTATCCCTCAGGACTACCGCCCTCATCAGCCACCCCTGCTCAGTGCTTACCATATCCACCGTCTGCCGCCAGGCTACACGGCTCTTCACCTGGTGGTGATCCATCAGCCGGTGGCTGACCCGCACCGCCGCGCCCTTCAACTTCTCATCGAGAACAGCGTCGATGTCAACGTGGCGGTAAGGGGCGACGGTGGGATGTGGGACGGTGGGAGGTGTGATAAGAGGGCGTTCAAAGGCAGCGTAGAAAGGGTTGGTGTTATGGCAGTTGGGCCTGTGCTTTTTATGCTCTGAAGTATGTATCGCTAGTGGATGTTTGCCGTTTCGTTTTGATTTCTCACGTTTTAAGTTTTAGCAAACAGTACCTACATAGTGAGATACACGTACAACGTTGAACTGTATTTCACACACAAAATTGCAATGCCAATCATGCCACCACATGATAATGTTTTCTTCTAACCTTGTAAAGAAATTCAGCTATGTCGTGGGGAATGTCGTGGATGGGGATATGCTCTTTATTGAGCGATCTTGCGCACTTACTGATGTTAACATTTCATAATGTTTGTTTTGAGTATGTCAACCACGTCAAAGATTAAGCAGTTACACTCTGATTCACGCCGCACCTAGTTACTGATATATTATCGACAACGATCACATGAGTTACCTCTCTGACTCCTTTACCTACTTGACTGCACATCATCTGTTCCTGCCTAAGGATACCTATCTCCTACCTACCTCTCGTTTCACGCACACGATTCACTCCCGCGTCCCTGCTCATTGAACGACACCTAGGGTCGCTCGGCGCTCCTAACTACCTCCCTCTCCCCACACAAGGCTCACATCTCTCCACTCTCTCCTCAGGACGACACAGGCGGCCGCTCTGCTCTGTTAATACATCCCTCTCCCCACACACGGCTAACATTTCTCCCTCAGGATGACACGGGCGGCCGCTGGGCGCTGCCTCCCTCCCTCCCACACACGGCTCACCTCTCTCCACTCTCTCCTCAGGACGACACTGGCGGCCGCTCGGCGCTGTTAATACATCCCCTCCCTCTCCCCACACACGGCTCACCTCTCTCTCCACTCTCTCCTCAGGACGACACTGGCGGCCGCTCGGCTCTGTTAATATCTCCTCTCCCCACACACACGACTCACCTCTCTCCACTCTCTCCTCAGCACAACACGGGCGGCCGCTGGGCGCTGTTAACTACTGCCTCCTTTCCCTCCCACACACACGGCTCACCTCTCTCCACTCTCCCCTCAGGACGACACTGGCGGCCGCTCGGCTCTGTTAATACATCCCTCTCCCCACACACGGCTAACATTTCTCCCTCAGGATGACACGGGCGGCCGCTGGGCGCTGCCTCCCTCCCTCCCACACACGGCTCACCTCTCTCCACTCTCTCCTCAGGACGACACTGGCGGCCGCTCGGCGCTGTTAATACATCCCCTCCCTCTCCCCACACACGGCTCACCTCTCTCTCCACTCTCTCCTCAGGACGACACTGGCGGCCGCTCGGCTCTGTTCCACGCCGTTCTCCGCGGAGATGAGCTCTCCGTCCGTGAGCTGGTGGAGAATAACGCCGCCGTCAACATGGCCGACTTCTCCGAGACCACGCCGCTGCAGGTGACTGGGGCGGGAGAGGGTGGAACGGGTGGGGAGAGGAGCGGGATAAGGCGGACTTATTGATACGGTGACCGATACAGACTGAGATGGGAATTGAGGCAGTACGTGAGATGAATGTGTCACAGTTTTGTGTTAAATGGGAGGTGGACAGCGATTTCATTTTAGCAGAAGAATTATGTCAGCTTTTGAAAATGTTCGTTTAGGAAATTTTTGGGTTAGGGCCTTTCGATCTGACGAGACCATTTCAGGGCCGGAAAGATGATGGAATTGGTGGGGGGGGGGGGGGGCAGACATTGGTCTGGGCGGGCACCCTAGTGAGTCACCTGGGCTGAGCCCATCCAATTGGACAGGCCACCCAGCCCACTGGTATGTACTTCTACACCCGGCTACCGGTGTGCTCCTAGGAAAGCTTCCCGCCTAGGGTAAAGTTGCCCGGCCAGCCCGGGTCAGGGCTGACCGGGCGTGAAGGAGAAGGATTTGACTGTCCTGATGATGGAAGGGACGGAACGGTGTTTTGGAACTGAGAGCGCTTAGGTGGTGGTGCTCAGGAACAGACGGCGATGCGAATATTATGGTGCTCACTGAGGGATAGACATTCCCTGTCTGCGACTGAGGCAGCTCGAGAAGATTAGTATTATGTGGGGGCGAAGGATAGAGTGACTGGTATATTGATCGGGAACGAGAACGGACACGACTTCAGACGTAGGCGGATTTTCCCAGAACTTACACCGAGCGTGTGACCCGACATCTAGCGGTAGGTGCGGAAAACACTGACGTGTGGGCCTGCCGGCGTCGGCTCAGTGGCTGATGGTTCTCCAGTGAGACCGTGTTAGCCATTATCCACAAGCCCATCAAACGTGATGAGTTATCATCGATGGGGTGTGCGGGGTGAAGTTTGGTATAGAATAAGGCTTGAGTGCTTTGTTTGTTTTTGTATCATTTCACCACGATATACATAAATGTTTAATGAATTCCCTTTGATCCTTTCATGCATGTGAAACATAAAACCGTGCGCCCGTTACTTATGCTGGTTGGAGAAAAAAGGCAAACCGACACATCGAATTAATCACCCGTTCCGTCGTTTTCATTCTCGGGATGCTGTAATCCTTCTTATCTTTAATCCACTCCGTAACCCCCTCCCGGGCTGGACAATAGAGGTGGCAAAATATGGACTCGAAGACCCGGTCCAAAGAACCAGTCTGGACCCATATGGGTCCAGACCGGTTCCTGGAAATTTTCTGACGAGTCCAACCGGGTCCTGCCGTAAACTGTACATCTTGCACACTACAAATTATTGCAAAATATGAAGTGAATGAAGTGAATGTTTCTTGGCCTCATGAGTATTCCCAGTGGGAAATAGGCTGCTTTATGATGCAACTAATGATACCTACAAGTAATTTGTATTAATCGACTTTTGGGGAACCGGGTCCAACTGGTTCCGATTCCAACTAAGGCCGGGTCCGAATGGTTCCAGAAATGTCCAGCCGGGTCTGGTTCGAGTCCGGTTCCCAAAATTTTCATCTTTTGCCACCTCTACTGGACAAGCAACTTAATATCATGCGGGCTGCTCCCTTGGAGCGGCACCGCTGCTCCCGAGGGAGCGCACCCCGTAGCCGGGTGCAGTGAATACCTTGGGGTTGGGTGGCCTGTCCTCTGGACGGGGTCAGCCCCGGTGACTCACCAGGGTGTCTGCCCAGACCAATGTCTCCCCCTAATTCCTGTCATCCTTTCGGCTCTGAAATGGACGTCTTGTCAGACCGAAAAAGCCTAACCCAACAAAACAAGACAAACAATATGTGAGGCTGTTCTGCTCCGTTCGCGTTCGCGAGGATAATCAGATTGGGCAGATATATCGTAGGTACCGGTGCCGGCCACAGAACTCGATGGCAGTGCGCAGATGACCCGCGGTTGCCATGGAAACCCACCAAACAAGTCAATATCTGACGTCTTGAAATGGTGTTCCAAAGTGATTGATCTTGACGAAACGTTGGCATGGGCGTGCGCATTGCGCAATATGTTGTGGTGTGCTATTTGCGGTAGATGTATGCATGACTGCGACCCGGCTTTGACCTGACATGATAGCAGCTTAGCTATGACAAATATTGGTGAGCTACAACGATCTGGCCATGACATGATCATGGCTAGTTCCACATGACTGGCCTGACAAACGACTAAACTCTTACATAGCTTGAATAGAACCTGACTTGGACCTGACCGTGACCTCTTCTAACTACCTTCCCTCCCACCACTCTCTTGACCGGTGTTCATTCACTCCTCAGGCTGCCGAGGACGTCCTTCCCGCAAACAACAACCACATCTGCAGCATCCTGCTGGAGCGGGGAGGCTTCAAGGTGCCGCCCGCTGACCGGGTGACCCAGACCGGTCGTCGCTCCGGCTCCCGCAGAGGGCGCTCCTAAAGCCCGACAGATACACACGCGGCCGGGACGGGTACGCCCGGCGGCTGCACTGGAAGCTGGGGTGTGGAGAGAGAGTATGGGAGGGTTGCTGGAGACAAGGTGTGTATTTGTGTGTGGAGAAAGTGAGAGGAGAGGCTCGGTCTATCCGCCTGGTCTGAGGCTGAGTCGACGCCACGGTGTGGATCGATTAGTGTTGGGATGGAAAGCTCTTTGGAAGGCATCAGTAGCACTGTTTGTAGTTGGTAAGCACTACATTCGGTGATCATTTATGTCGGTGACGATGACCCTCGCTGTGGCGCCGGGTAGGCGCCGGGACGGCGGTGGGAGTCCGTTTCGTGTGCGCTATGTCTCTGTGTTTCGTTTGCGGCCATACCAGCGCAGAGACGGCGGTAAGGTCCAGCTCCCCTTATGTATTGAGTATGCGACAGAGTAGACTGTCGTCAGTGTCGAGTCGCTGCCCGCTCCGATCGAGGGGAGTGTAGGGGTCAGCTGCCTACAGGCACTGCATTGTGCATTTCAGAACGGACGTAAATGCACCGATGTGAGCGGGAGAACAGTAGGCCTGTGACGACTGTGAGTGTATGATGTGACTTCATTGCTGCCTGAGCGCGCACCCAACACTGGTCCAAAGTGAATGACTTCATTAATGAAAACGGTGAGGCTTATTCGATATGTTGAACTTTGAACCTATTTTTGGCTTATGTTTCGTTCTAATCAGTCATTTGTTGTTAAACTGATTTTGTGCACCGTTCATCATTACGGATTTTACTGCACCTTTCGTTGGTCTTGCTACCGTCTTGAACAGGTTGCCAAGTAGGTTCTAGAACGTTGCTGAACTATTTTATTGTGTAATTTCGCTCCATTAGCGTTCCTGCATATGAGACAGGGTCACGTGTGCCCTGACTGCTTTTTGCCATGCTATGCGCAATAACGTACCCTGCCTTTATTCTTACTACATCGCTACCAGCTTCAGCACTGCAGTTATGTATCCACTTCATGTATGTCTGTCTCTCCCGCGACTGTTTGGATGTTCGCTGTTTTACGTGTGCGAGCTGCTTCCTTTGATGTAACAGAAATGCTGGCGATCGATGAGGCTTGTAAGGTGGACGTTCAGATGGTATTTTTATAGCTATATAAGCTCGAACGTAGTAAGGCAGGCGAGGGACAGCGTCTTGAAGCCAGCGACGAGGTTTGGTGTTGTGCCGGATGGGACGAAGGGTAACTGCTGGTGCTATGATACGGAGACAGCCCCGTGAGGCGGACATACCGTTTACGACGCACCTGTGTCATCCGTGGCGCGTCTCTGTTGCTATCTTACCGTGACGTTCGGCTGGCTGGATGGGTGGTGCGAGTACAAATGCCAGGCTCTGTAGTCGGTAAGCAGAATTAGCGCACGCCCACGCCTCAGCGGCTGGTATGTAGTCGTTGGTAGACCATACTGTACCCCGGCGGATAGCTTCGGGAGGTAAAAAGACTCGCTGGCGAGAAGTCGGCTGAGCGTGGCCAAGGGTCGGCGTTAGGCGAAAGCTGTTCGTATGTGTGCTGCATGGAATCGACTCTATGTGCTGGTGGGCAAACGCCATGCTTGTAGAAAAAGCAGGCTGTAATCGACCTGGATGGATTACCAACGAGTTGTTGAAGGTCGTTCGTCATGGGAAGCACCTCAGTGTTCAATTTTTGGCTATCGAAATGTCATGAGCTTTGCTGGTAACCTAAAGCTTCTACTTATGCTGTATCAAATATAGGCACCTATGCTATTACCGATTTGTTTGTGTTTGAGGTTTCATGCGACTCTGTGATCGCTTCATCCACACACCCGATGTTTGTGAAGGTGAATGAAACACTACCTACCGTGGACAAACAACACATTTTTGCCGATAAGTTTTATCGTGAACTCACTCGGTGCCTGGTTTACATGAACACTGGTTTACATCAGTCACGCCACCTGGACCGGTGACGTCATGATCGGAATCGCTCCCCCGCGTGCCGCCTCCACCGCCTTTTGATGCGCCATGCACGGGCTCATTCTGGGTAGGTCAGGAGGAAAAGAGTCGTCCGATTTTCCGGCGATCAATAAGTCGGAGAAGGAAAAAAGTTTGCTCGTGATCGATTGATTCAGCTGTCTGGTGGACGGGGAGGTGACACCCGCTGAAGTTGGGTCTGGTAGACTGTCAGCTGGCTCTTAGGCCGTTCAGAACTCAGTGAAGGGTGGATTCACATCATTTCGAGCTGGGAGATGTGGAGGAAATGGCTCTGATCAGACACCATGAGGTTATTGGGAGATCCACAACGGTGTCACGGGTGTGTAAAGCCATAAATGCCATGGCATCCCGGACATAGCCAATGCCCGATGTTCGGGATGCCGTGGTTACGATTTTTACTGGCTATTAGGGACCATGGTGGACAATTTTTAGACCGAACGCCCTCTCAGTTCTCTACTCTCAGCAGAAATGGCGAAATATTTGACGTCACCTGACGGACGGGTGACGTCACACGGTAGACGCTAACGTCACTGGTCAATATCAGAGGCGCTGTTTCGCCATTTGGCTGTTATTATGACTGGTGGAGTTTGTGGTTTGAAGGAAAAGTACTGGTTTGAAGTCTTCACTGTGTAGGCAGTTATCTGACACTGCGTCAGCTTTTGATTGAGCCGTGCAATGCGTCGCAAAAGATGCCTATTGCCTATTGCCAATTATACAGATGCATGTCAGGACCTCACAAAAGCATCACCCTTTCGACGCGCTGGGCTGTCGATCCGTGGTTGTTTTGACGACAGACCTGAGCAAGCAGCCCCTCTGTGGTGGTCGTGAGAGCCATTCGCGAGCCGAGGGGCAGGGCACGCTCCGCTCGTCCGCATGGGATTTTCCAGTGTGTGAGTGCCGCTGAGACGGATGGGCATCCTCACGCACCCCGAAATGACCTCGAGTCGACGGAGAAGGTCAGATCACACTGCAAAGCGCATTGTCGCATACACAGTCCTGTACGGTGGAAGGCGAGTTTGTCTTTAGAGGTCACCCCCCCCCCTCCCCTCACCCCTTCCCAGAAGGTGCGGCCATCGGGAGTTCCCGAGACGCCGTGTGGGCGCCTCTGCGACAGTGGCGCCGCCGGTGGCGGACGGCCGAACCAGTGGCGCGGCAGAGCTTCGCCGGAACCAGCTGAGGGCGGCACGGCGGGGGAAGAGCTGCAACAGCGCGGCTGCGGGAGGACGGCAGGAGAGCTGCGAGCTCAGGTAGGTCCTCTGAGGGCCGCCCGTGGCCCTGGGCGCTGACCTGACCTACTGTGACAGCGGCGAGGGTGCATTGGTGCATTGGTGAGACCGCGTGGGCGGGCTCCACGGATCTGCCGCCGGAGTTGTTTTCCGTCAGCTGACGTTTATCTGATGTCTGTCTGTCTGAGATGTGTTTTATACTGGGACGCCACCCTGGATGTCTGTCCGAGGTAGTCGTTTGGGGCCGTCTGACGTCAGTCCGACCTCCCCCCCCCCCCGATCGATTGCTGAATCGCGCGTCAGATCTGACGCGGCCCGTCCCGGATGCGGCTGACTTCTGAGCCGTTTAGCGCCGGTCAGCCGTCACGGTCTGTCTCGCCCGGCCCTCTGCCGCGCCTGGTGGAATTCCTCCCTCGCTCTCCCTCCGGCGGTGCTCGCGTCCTGTTAGTACCGACCGTGCCGGCGCAGCTCTCTACCTCATTGTGTCGCCGGTGTCGCCTTTCCGCAGGACCGGCGCCCGTGCGCGTCAGGCTCGGAGCTGGGTCCGCGCGACCCCCGCCCCGCCCCGCCCCGCCCCGCCCCGCTCAGCCGACACAACAGCGCAGTATGTGGTGACGTCACATGACCTTGGCCATGAAAACGGACTCCGGTCGGACGGCCGCCTGCCGGTCTGCCGGCTGGCTGGTTGGCTGACGGTGGCCGGCGGAGACTGCCCGTGGGCGCCCTGGCGGCTCTATCGACCCCTGTGGCCCCGCCCTGTCCCCCTACCCCCTGTCCCCTGGACACCCTGCCCCCCCGGGGGAAAGGTCTCAGGTCAGAGTTGATTGTGCACTGACGCCGCCCCAGAGCAGTCGGCACGGAAGACGGTGCACCGTCTCAAATGCTTTTTGCGAAAAAGGAAAGGGTGGTGTAGCTAACAAAATTGGCCTTTGCTTAATGCTTTTGATCTTCGAAAGGCACTAAATGTTGGGAGGCGTCAGGCGACATTGGATTATCGTACACAATGTTCGGCTGTAAGGTCAGGGGCGCCGCTAATACGATTATTTGGTACTTAGGCTCCCGAGAAAATTCTAGTGATGATGAAATTATGTAATTTTGAAAAAGTATGCGTCATAAACATAGATTCGCAGTCAATCGGCGTTTTTAATGTGCCCTCCTGTTCAGAACTCTCTTCTTGTATCTTATCTGTCTGTCTTTTTACCTGGTTGCGGCAACTGCGTCAAGTAAAAACTCTGATATTTAGCCGCTATCTTGAAAAGGTATACCAACATCACGGTAAAAACTCTGTCGTCTGACCTCCTGGGTCTCCGGGTGGCCAAGGTCGCGCCGACTGCACTCCGATGGCCCGTGTATGGCGCTCAATAAGCCGAGCTGTCGTGCCGAGCCGCGCCCATCGTTACCGTTAACTGTTAAATACCTCGTCGACGTCGACACAGCAATGACCTTTATGAAGCGCACGATTGCACAGCGTCCGCGCCGCCATGCTCTCGTCACTGTTTTATTCAATGCGTCGATACATTAGCTACTGCTCTACATAGAATGCAAATAGGTAGGTAGATACGCAAAAACGAGCCGGCGTATCTACCAATACGTGGCTTATGACCATATTAGTATCAAGTGTCGACCGCAATGGCATCGTTTCCCCGAAGGTGATGATCCGGACATGTTTAGTTACATAACCCCTTAGCGTTAGCCGTCAGCACTCGACATAGTCACCCATCGTTCCAAGGCCAGGACCATGGGACGCATTACGCCTCGCATGTGTCTACTGCGCGTGACTGATCCCTGCGCCGTGACCGACGCAGCTACGGCATTGGGGTAAAGGGGGTGCCGTGTGTCACGTATGACACCGGCCCATGACACCATCTGACACGTGTGTCACCTACATGTCTAGATACATGTTTGTTGTCTGTACATGCATGTCAACATTCATATATGCATCGGCGACATGCCCAGTTAGGTAGACGGGACTCTCCCCCACCAGCGAGGATTACCGTGTTTCGCACAGCGCCCGGCCGCGGCTGTGTGGAATTCGTTCCCGGTCAGAGAGCTCACGGAGTCGGTAGTCGGCCGACCGCCATATGGTACTGGTTGCCGCGGCTTCCAGGTAGCTCTGACGGTGCCAGATGGTCAATATCGAGCCCCGCCGCGCCGCCGCCGCGACCCCCCCCCCCCTGCTGCCGGAGGGGGGTGACCTCCGTCACCTCTGTGACCCCGCCCACTCCCCCCGAGTCTCTGACTGGTAGATCCGGGATTGGATGATGACCTACGGTATATCAGGAGCGGGACTTCCAGTTCATTGTGTCTCGCTCACTGAACGCTCACTGAAAACATGTGATCTCGACATATGAGACTTGCGAGCATCTGAAGCTCTTTGGGCTCAGTCAGTCGGTTGACTGAGCCCCGAGGCCTTTGGCGTTGACTGTGTGACTGTGACTAGTGTGACTGCGTTCAGTTTACCGCTGCGGCTGAGCCACGGATGCGGTGCCGACGCCGGCGGCTAGTCCGCGCGCCCGACCGGCGCGGGACGCGCAAAAAACGACAGCAAAAACAGCTGCCTTGAACCGGTGACCCGTCGAACGAGGAAAAAACGCGGGTAAAAAGCGCCGCCCGCCGGCCGGGGCGCGCCGCGGCAGATCGATATGGCCCGGTCGTGTACTGGGTGTGGGGTGGGGGCCCGCGGGGGAGGGGCCTTACCGTCAGGGTACATACTGGACCGCATGACACAGCGCGGGGGGCTTCGGTGTCTGTATTATTGCAATGAATTAAACTTTTGATTGTGGCACCGCTCTGCTCAAATGCCTCGACTCTCAACCAATCGTGCCCTCTGGCACTCATGTCTTGTTCAAATGAAATATATCATGATTGACACGGAATATGGATGTCTTGTCATGACACCTCGACTGTCATGTTCCGTATACCTATAACCGACCTTTTGCCAATCATTATATTTATTTTTTGTAGTTAAACATTGATCATGACAAGACAATGATTCTTCTTGGGTCGCTCGGTGTCGGGCTAACTCGGTACATTCAACAATCCTTTGCCCCTGCACGGAACGCTCGCTTGTCAACGAAAGTCTCATTTACGAGTACAGCTAATGCTACCATACCCTGGCGAGGGTGAGCAGAGGGCAATCTAGCGGAAGAGACAAGCTGAAGTATAGCCGGTGACCTCTAGGCCGGCCCCACTGACCCAGCCGTGCTGCGACTCCACCATATGGGTTGCGTCTGTGACCTTTCTCATGGAACATAGGTCACCCTGATCGTGACGTCGGGTGGCTCACAAAGGTCAACCTGCTTCCATCATCTGTAAGGCTTCTGATCAGACAAGGCCCAACGTGGCCAAACATTCGTCCGAAGGGAGGGGTCAACCTGTCTATGCGGTGGCTGCTGCCTGCTGAATGATCCTGTTGAGTGTGGAAATACTGATGAGGATGCGTGTCTTCCCACCGAGATCAAACTATCGAGAAGCTGACAGCGATGCCTTATGAGTTATGATTAGTGATGTCAATTACAGAAAATCGGAATACCGATACCAAACCAAATACCA